AACGACTGTTAAAGCTTGTGTCAGCCGGATTACGGATTACCCGGATTACCTCTGGAGTATCCTCCGGATTACGTTAATTTTTCTTTTGGATTACCACGGATTGCCCTAAAATTTCTTCGGATTACCCCTGGATTACCCCCGGATTACTTCGAATTTCCTCGGATTACCCCTGCCGGATTATCTAACGGCTGTCAGCCGGATTACCTTAGTCGTTTCCCCCTCGCTTTCCATTCACTTTCAAGTCAACTTGTTACTCGTTCTTTACCATCTCAGCCATCTCCTTGTTTTAATTGTAATGTTTGTGTTTGTTAACAGTTTCACAATGGATAATAATCAATCTGCAATGTTCTTCAAAATGTTGATGTATCAAATGTATCAACAACAACAACAGCAAAACAGAATGATGAACCAAATGCAGATGCAGATGCAACTTTAACTACAAATGCAGTTTATGCAGTCTGCTAACAATACTGCTTCTGCTAGAGCTCAACATTCCATAGCTGCTGCTTCAGGAGCTGTGCAAGTAGGTCTCATTAATGGGGCACCTAGTGGACTCTATTTATTTTCATTTGTTTTCTACTAATTTTGTCTGTCTTTTCGGTACATAGATGCCAATGATTATGCCAAATCCTCAAGCTCCTGCACTCCTGCAGCAGGGTCCTACAGGAGGCTTGCAAGTAGGTTTCACTGATGAAGCTCGTTAAGTATTCTGTTATCATTTGTTTTCTACTAATTTTGTCTGTCTTTTGGGTACATAGATGCCAATGATTATGCCAAATCCTCAAGCTCCTGCACTCCTGCAGCAGGGTCCTACAGGAAGCTTGCAAGTAGGTTTTACTAAAAGAGCTCGTTAAGTATTCTGTTAATATTGTTGACTAACTTTGTATATTTGGGAAAAGATGCCAATGATGATTCCAAGTGGATCCAACAGCAGAGCACTTCCGCCAACAGTTGCTATATCTCAAGCTAATTTGGAAGTATCAGCTGTAACTGGAACAGAAGCATCTAATAAAGACAAGGTGAAGGCTCATAATTGAAATGAAATACGTGTTAAATTCTTAATCTCTTGCATCTTTATTGGTGCAGTAATTTTGAATTCCTGTTCTGAAACAGGCTCTTGAGACGGTGGTGGTGAAACCCCAAGTAGAACACACAGAGAAACGTGAAACGGGAAATTCTGATGAGGTATGATAGACATTTACTGAAATTTTCATAGGCTAGAAACTTTATTGTAGACCCTTGTATTAAGTGCAACAATGAAATCCGTTTAAAGTCAACAAACAATAAACAGGTGCCAGAAAGTTTATAAAATTCCCTTCATTTTCACTTGAAAGAGTTATTATGACAGTCTAACAAAATATTCTAACTAGTGTCTGCAATGGCTTTTATGGTATATCAAAACATGTTACTTACCGTATTCACCTGAGTTTGAGACTGTCCACCCCTAAGCAACCACCATGTTTCCAAGACCAAAATTATGGAAAGAAAGGGCATGTAACACATGTACGACGATATCATTGACAAAAACAAAGTCTTAGACTCAAGTGAATATGGTAGTAAGTATGTGTATTTGCAGGAGTTGATGTGAAAACTTTTAAACC